CATGTGAAGGCTACATTGTCCATATGAAAGTAGGTGGAAGGTGGTTCTGAAGTAGCCAGTTGACAGTCCGAAGCTTGAAGGATTACTTACTCCCAGCAACAAGTCCTCTGCAGACTCTCAAGTAAGAAGAAAACCCTCGGGCACCCACTGCAGATGTGATACAAGGTCACATTATAGCTGTCTGTCTCCATGATGATCAGTAAAAAAGCAAATCCCACCTGGGCAGCATACTAGGGCTGACCCTGTTGTCACAGTCATGGGTGAGCCAGTCCTGAGGGCATGAGAGCAGAAGAGCTGACCTCCCCCACCCCCATGTCACCAATCTCTCTCATCCTCTCACAGTGGCAGTAGACACTGTAGGGAAAACATTAAACAGGTAAATGGGCAACTGGGGTGAGGAACAAAATCTAAGAAAAGTTACAAAACCAAAAAAGAGACACTAAGCAAGCCCAAGCAGCACATAGAATTTCTATGTTCAGAATCATTAAAAATAGCAATCCCTATCCATAAAGAGACATAAAAGGCTATCACACTGGTAACACAGTTATGGATAGGAGAGAGACTACTGGACCTTACCCATCCCTGCTGATCTATTGGCCACCAACAAATTCTGGGAGAAGGGGAGTTACCGTCCTCAGCTGTGCACCAACGGGTGACCCCACCAGGCTCCAACAAAGACCTCAAAACCTATGGTCACACAGACTGCCCTAGTTAAATTCAGTGGGTCACAAACAAATGACAGGGATGTGAGAGAGATTTCTCTGAAGGAAGAAGGAGACGGGGTAGAAGGAGTTTGGACAGGGTGGGGTGATAGGTGGGCATGCATATATATACATGTTACGGTGTTAAAGTATAAATTTATTTAATGAAAAAGAAGAACGTGACACAAAGAAAATCACCATTTCCCCTAAAATATGACTGAAAAGTAGAGCAAATGAGATGAGTGACCTACAAGTCCAGAGAGCAGTTTGTTTCACAGAGAGAAGAAAATGTGCAAAAGTTCAATGTGAAAAAGGAAAGTAGATTCCAGCTCTCCCAGATACCAGCAAAGACGGGGGACTGGGAGGCGGCGGGGGTGGGAGGGTTGCATGCTTACAAAGATGAATTCTCCCTCTCTCTCTCTTTTTTTTTTTTTTTTTGGTTTTTCGAGACAGGGTTTCTCTGTGGTTTTGGAGCCTGTCCTGGAACTAGCTCTTGTAGACCAGGCTGGTCTCGAACTCACAGAGATCCGCCTGCCTCTGCCTCTGCTGGGATTAAAGGTGTGCGCCACCACCGCCAGGCTCAAAGATGAATTCTCAAGTTCCAAGTTGAGTGTTACATCTTTACACAAGGGTTCCCAAGTACCAAGTATACATGAGGTTTAAACTAACAAACACACCCATAAACACACACACACACACACACTCACATTCTGTGGGGAAAAGTATGATGACGGGTAGAATAAAAAGCAAGAGGCCTCAAATCTGGGGGAGGGGAGCAGAAATCTAGTAACAAACAAAATTAACCAAACTGGAAGCTGAGGGATAATACAGCAGTGTCTTTGGCCAAATTACTCTTTCAGCGGAACAAATAGCACCATTTTTGGAAATTGTGGATTCATAAAGTTTACCATTTATAGCTCTCTTCAAGAAAAAAACTTATTTGAGCGCATATTCTAAAAAATGAGTCCAAGAGAAAAGACACAGTAACAATAAAAAATACCAACAGAAATATAAAACTCAGGAATTCCACAGCACCAAGGACAAGGAGCACACAAAGAAACAACAGGAGACTTGCATTAACAACCTGAGACGTGGGCTGTAGGGAGACATTCCTCTTATGGGGGATGGATACAGATTCTAATTAAGTCTAAATGTTCACACACAAAAGAGTTAAAATGTGTTAGAAAATAAGGGTGAGGACATTTGGGAAACAAGAATCCTCAGCTTCTTCCTGTCTAAAACATGAAGAAATGAACCCAAAACAACCATTTAGGGCATTTCTGCCACAAGCACTATGGCTCCAAGGCACCACTTTACAAACAGCTGCTGAAAGTAGTGACCAGGAAGAACGGAGGCATATCCAGGAAGTGAGGGGTGGTCCTATTCACCACTGAACCACACTGGGGACATCTTTCTAAAAACCTGCACCAGTAATCCCCAATCAGAAAGTGCAGCTGGGTGGTAGTGGCACTCAGTACCAGAGGCACTTGAGGCAGAGGCAAGATGATCTGTGAGTTCAAGACCAGCCTAGTCTACAGAATTAGTTCTAGGACAGTCAGAGCTACACAGAGAAACCCTGTCTCGAAAAACCAAAATGAAAAAATAAAAGAAAGTGCTGGCCAGGTAGGGAAAATAGGGGTAAAGTGGGGGGGCTGTACATTTAAAACCTCTCTGCAAAGGAGACACATCCTCCACAGTGGCCCATCAAGAGCAAGGCCTGATAGCAGAAGAATCAAAAGCATTCATTAGGTATGAGTCACCAGAACAAGTGTCAAAAGAGAAAATAAGAGATACACAGAGCAAAAGTCAGAAACCAGATCTTGCTTTTATGGCAGATTTCCCAAGACCCAAGCAATGACTCAAGAGCTCACCCCTAGGGAAGAGAACTAAGGCACCTACCTAGTAAGGAAAAACAGATCATAGGTCTGACAGCACAGGTTCTCCAACAGGCAGGTAATGTGATTAACAATACTGAGCTCAAATCCCAAACTATGAGGGGAAAAAACAGCTTTGTAAGATATAAAAGTCAGACACAGACACAATAATCCAGCAATCCAGGCAGAGCTTTCCCCACTCAATTAAGTACAATCAAGAGAAAAGTCACACCAGCAAGTTAAATACCAAAGGCAAAAGGAGAAAATAAAAGAGGTTGGAGAGATGGCTCAGTGGTGAAAAAACAAAAATTTATAAATCTATTCGACAATTAAAAAGGGATTTTAAAAGCGAATGGAAAGTTTTTACAGATTTATTTTTATTAGGTGTGTGCACATACATGCATGCACGCGCACGCACACAGACACACACATATAAAAGCAGGTACTCGCAGAGGCTGGAGGCGCAGATGCTCCTAGAGTTAGAGTTATAGACAGTTATGTGCTGCCCAGCATAAGTTCTGGGAAACAAACTTGGGTCCCTGCTTAAGCAGGTGCTCTTAACCACCGAGTCATCTCTCTAACCCCATTGAAATTGTTTTTAAAAGCATAAGCAGTTCGGTTAGATACTACATGATTATAATCTCAGGACGTAGGGAACTGAGGCAGGAAGAACTAATTTGAATACAACCTGGGCTACATAGGGAGAATGAATCAAAAGAGGCAAGAGGAGAAGAGAAAAAGAAAAAAGAAAATGTCCAGCTAAACAAATAGAACAATAACCATCACAATATCTATGTATTAAAAACAGCCAAATCTAGAGGACAACTGAATGGCATGAAGGGAAGGTTGGGAATTATCAGACACAAAGAAATAATTAAACCGCTGAGACAAATTATACATGGAAGATGTGTATGGTCTCTACAGCAGAAAACCACAAAGGGCACATGGAGGGAACCAATCAGCTGGCTTGAGGATACAGGCACTTGCCACCAAACCTGATGATCTGTGTCCAATTCCCAAAACATGGTGGAAGGAATGAACAAAACTCCCCCACAAGCTGCCCTCTTAGCCCACACAAGGTGCGCACATATGTACACACACTTACCCTTTAGGCACCCACTCTCTCACTCTGAGACAAAGAGTGTGTGTGTGTGTTGTTCATGTGTGTTCTTTAAAATAACTATTGAGACACAAGAGAGGCAGGTGAGAAAACACAGAAGGAAAGCTGAGGTAAGCCCCATTCATGGAAGAGACTGCTGCAAAGACAGCCATTCTTCCAGAACTGACCCATCACATCCATGAAATCTCAATCAAACCTCACACTTGTTTTTGTGAGAATACTATGACTCTAACATTTACGTGCAAGTGAAAGGACCCCTATTAGCAAAGTCAATTCTAGAGAACCACTAGATAGGCACTCACTGGATAGCAGGTGTCCAAAACAGACAAGACATGATGACCTGAGAGTCACTGCAACACTGTGGGACCCAAGAGTCTTTCCAGTAAGTGCAGATCAACCAGCAATTCACCATGGGAGACCTCATCTGCAATTATAACACTGGCAAGGCTTATAACAGGGGGACTCCAAGTTTAAAGCCAACCTGGACTTCACAGTGAGTTCAGGCCAGCCTAAGCAGTTAGTGAAAGCCTCTAGGGAAAATCAACAGTGATACAGCCCCACAGGAGTATGTACATAGTGTGCATGGAACCCCAGGTTCACCATCTAGGGAACAGTGGCAGGGGTGGGGTGACAAAGCAAACGAAACACCCCTCGTCTGCTCCACTTCGTTTTACAAACAAAAAGATGAAAATCCAGTCAAACTAAGAACTTACTTCAGTTATATGACTACCAAGCAGCTTCATAATTTTGCCACAGGCAAATCTGAGTATTTTATAATTTCTTAAAAAAAAAACCAAGAACAACAAAACTATCTTTCTCATTTTACATGCCAATCCCAGCTCTCACTAAAGGCACTAGCAGCTCTTCCACCGAACTGGCCATTACTTCTTAGTATTTCTCTGCTAACAGCTGAGTCCCTTGAATGCAGATAAACCCAACACTCCTTTAAAGATCCCATTCATGTTTGAAGGCATGCCAAGCCAAGCCATATGCCAACTTTCAGAGACATTTTCACCATATCCATAAACAAAGAGAAACTGAGGCAAGACTAAAGGTCACCCAGCAGAAAAGAACTCTTATATTCAAGCTTCAGTGCCCCATCAACACCTGTCCTCAGATCCCGTGAGGTGGCTCAGACATTTAGTAACCTGCCCCTGTAATGATGTAAGAACTCCACGTCCTCCAGTCCCCAGTGCTCTGCACCTGCTCTGCTGTCAAGCTGCCCCGCACACGGCAGCAAACCCTTCGCCTGCAACCCTGCCTTCAATGCCTATTAAAATGAATCCGAAGAATACCCAGACTCACCTTTGAAGCTGGCTTTGTCTTCATACTTCCATTCTCCACAGCACTAAAATCCAGTTTACCGTCATCTTTACTTCCTATAGCTTTTAGTCCTTGTGAAAGAATGTCACGTAAATTTTGATAAAGAGGTTTTTCAGTGTAGTCCAGTAATTTCACAGTTTCCATGTACTTAGCAATTTCACCTAAAACAATGACACATTTTATCACTTTTAGTCACAAACCCAACATGTCTGTCTCATTCCTAAAAAAACAGTCCATGGCCAATGTAAAATTACAATACAAGTGGGCAACATGTTAAAATAAAAACCTTGTTCTCAATCAAAGCTCAGTGCAAAGTATGCTTTTAAGTCCAAAAATTAACAGGTAAATAAAAGAACATATTTTGAGATACAATGTAAAAGACATTTCTGCAACCATAGAGACAATAAGAGAACATATTCAAACACACATAAAATATAAATATAAAGGAATTCAGAAAGTAGTTTGTCCTGAGATGCAGTGACCCCAGAAGCTATCAGTCCTGCAATGAAAAGCTGTATGCTATGAGGTGAGAATCAGAGCCCGAGAGCAGATTCAAAAGCACAAGACATGGCCAGAGAGGCCTGGGTTTCTGCGTGAGAAGAAACCTACCTGGAAGGATCAGCCCCTTACAAAGACTTTCCCTTGACACACACAGGCATCCACTGCCTCATCATCAGAGCCTTGATTACACAACCACTACCACAAACCCCAACTCCTGACAGAGTTAAATACACACACACAAACTGCACCCCATCAATCTCTCTGGTGTGTGTCACTGGAAATCTTATCCTCCCAGCTCAAACCAACATCTTTTCAGTCTTCCCTCTACTCAACATGAATATATGATGCTCTTTTGCCAGAGCGGTATCCATGCATAGATGCACATATAACTACTAGTTTAACTATGCAAGTGCCACTGTATGCCAGGCTCTATTCTGGACAGCTGAGATACAGCAGGGGCATAGGGGTGGTCTCAAATCTCTACTATCTTAACAAGAAAAAAAAGAAATCTGAAACACCCAAGACAGTATGGTTAAAACACACTGTATGAAAACATGAAAAATAAATAAAAATGTATTTTTAAAACTCCTGAAACAAACATTAGTATGTCTGGCAAAATAACCAAAAGCTTCTGTTTTAGATGAGAGGCAGAGAACTCCACCTTCACCATCATCTATGCAGAACACAAGAGCCAAGTTTGCTGTAGCTGGCATCTAAAGGCAAGAAAGTAGGTCAAAGGGCATCAGAGCACCTTCAGGAGCAAACAGCATGGCTGGGCTTGCATCAAGGTCTATGAAAAAAAGGATTTGGTATGCAAACTTATAATCCTAGCATTCAGGAAGCTGAGGCTGGAAGAGCACAAATTCAAGGCCAGCCAGGGCTACACAGAGGAACCAAGTACTGGCACAAAGGGATGGAAGGAAAGGGAAAGGAAACAACAAAGCAAAATTCCTACAGCACAGTAAAGAATACAGGGTAAAAATACATAAAAATCTGCCCTATTTTTATATACTGTTAGAACTTGGAAATGAAATGTTCAAACCAGAATACTTAACATAGAACAAAAAAAATATCAGTTACCCAATGTGACTGTGATGACAGCAAGATTTCTGTGGAGGCCAAAATACAACCAGAATTTAAGGAGGAATTTAATGGAAGAGCTGCCACAGTGGGCTGGAAGACAGGATTACAAAGGCGGTGGCTCTTCAAATCACAGCAGACTCGTTCTGAAGCCCAGCAAACATGAGGGGACTGACAGTGATGTGCAAACGTCAACAGAAATGCAGTCAAGACAAAGTCAAGGGCTGGAGAGACAGCTCAGCAGTTAAAGCACTGGCTGCTCCTCCAAGGATGTGGGTTCCGTTCCCAACACCCACATAGTGACTCACAACCATCTGTAACTCCACTCTAGGAGATTCAATGCCCTCTACTGGTCTCTGCAGGCACTAGGCATACCTGCGGTATTTAGACAGAGAAAAAATCCAAACACACAATTTCTTTTTTTTTGAGACAGTGTCTCTGTGTAGTCCTGGTTCTCCAGGAACTCACTTTGTAGACCAGGCTGGCCTTGAACTCAGAGATCTGCCTGCCTCTGCCTCACAAGTATTGGGATTAAAGTGTATACCAGTAATTCTTTATTGGAAAAAAAAAAAACCGAAAGTCAGGTTTAAAAAACAACAACACGCCGGGCGGTGGTGGCACATGCCTTTAATCCCAGCACTTGGGAGGCAGAGGCAGGCGGATCTCTGTGAGTTCGAGACCAGCCTGGTCTACAAGAGCTAGTTCCAGGACAGGCTCCAAAACCACAGAGAAACCCTGTCTCGAAAAAAAAAAAAATAAAAAAATAAAAAACAACAACACATAATTACTTAAACCACCAGATACTGCCAGGCAGCAAGACCAAAGAGAAAATTGCAATATCTGATAAGTATAAATGAGGACGAGACAAAAAGAACCATTCAAAGAACAGAGTTCACACAAGAATTCTGAAAAAACAACAAAAGATAAAGGAAGTCTTTAATAGGATACAAAGTCAACTGAATATGACTCTTCTCACACATAGTCAAACTGAACCCCAGGGAAATGGGCCCTGTACAGCAGACAAGACCCAGATATGCAGTAGCATACATAAACCATGGAATGTAGATATAGCAGAGCACCACACAGACATACAACGGAAGTCTTAGTGCACTCAGCCCAAGACTGAGGACAGAAACGGATGGTAACAGAAGGACACACTGCAGAGTGCTCCCCAGTCCCTCAACCAGGACCTAGAGGTAGTTTTTGTCTCTAGAATAGTGGTTCTCAACCTGTGGGCCACGACCCCTTGGAGGGGAGGTCCAAATGACCCTTTCACATGGGTTGCCTAAGACCATCCTGCATAGCAGATATTTACATTATGATTCATAACAGTAGCAAAAATACAGGTATGAAGTAGCAGTGAAAATAATTTTATGGCTGGGGGTCACCACGACATGAGGTGTATTAAAGGATCATAGCATTAGGAAGGTTGAGAACCCCACTGCTCTAAAAAGTAAAGCCATTGGCATCCCGTCTATTTCGAGCTGTAGACTCTTGATCAAAGTAAAAACCAGTGACCTCAAGATGACCAAAAAGGACAGTCCTCACATCCTCTAGAGCAGTCTCCCAACCTTCACACAGCTACTTCTTCACCTCCTCCCTACAATGTTCAGTATCCCATCCACAAGGCTGTCCTTGGCCATGCTGCTCAAAATTTAAAATCTCTCTCCTACTCTCTGTGCCATCTCTACATTCCCAATTCCATTGCCTGTCTTCTTATTCTCCAGAGGACTAACAACATAATGTGCCAACAAAAATCGCTGTTGTGTTCTTAGCTGCAGCAAGAGTGCCAGCATCCCGAGGGCAGAGGTAAGATGCAGCCTGCATTAACAGCAGTCTCTGGCACATACTACAACCTCCATAAACACTGGCTAAGCGAACAAAACATGCTTCCCCTGATGAAAGCAAAGGGTAATCATATGAGGCTCCAAAGCCCACTGAGCAGCTTGCTGACCAGCTCACTGTGCAGAGTTGCTTTTGGGAAGAAAGCACACCTCCAACAACAGTAACGTCCTAAAATGCCCCAGCTCACAGGCAGAGGGATTTTTCCTTCCAGAAACTAAAAGCTCTGTGAAGGTCTATGGAAACCTTCCCTACCTGGCTTGTTCTTCTCAGGAAAGCACTTCTCCATCAAAGCTGTGACATTGTCCCTGTATCTGTTGAGGAAGGAAGGAATGCTTAGTGACAAGTGACCAAGTGTCATTCTGAGCTCAGTCCCCTACCAGGACAGCACAGCAGGCAGTAATTCCAAGAAAAACAGCAAAGTTCAAAGAGCCCTGCCACCTCACCAGCACCTTCTACTTTAAACATCACTGAGCCAGGTGTGGTGACTGTGACATGCCTATAATAGCAACATTCAAGAGGCTGAGGCAGGAGGGCTGCTCAGCAAAGCACTGTCTAAAAAAATAAAATAAAATAAATAATCTAGAAAAAAAACCCAATAGGTCTTGTCAGGAAATTCTGACTAAAATCCTCTGTCCTATCACCACCCAACCCAAAATAATGTAAGATGTCCCTTACCTAATTTTAGAATCTCTAACGTAGTTGGGATCTTTCAAGTTATCCTCCCAAGGAAGACAGCCACTGAGCCACTGGATCATGCAATAACCAAGTATTTCCAAATCGCCACGTCGTGATGGGGCTACAAACACAACAAGATCAAGCAGAGTACAATAGCTTTCCAGAAAGACACAGCAGTCCACTCAAGTCCACCTTTCGGCAGAAACATTTGTCTGAATGTAATGAAAACATTGAACACTGGTCTGTAGAAAACAAATCTTTATCTACAACTAATAACCCAAACTGACTTAAACTTACTTAAAACCCACACTGAGAAAACTTAAGGTTTCACACTGCTATTACTGTCTAGGAAATACAAGTCTGAAAGCACCTAACATGCACTGTTATCTTTGGGAGACGGGAAGCTATTAAAATGTTGACACTCTAAATACTGTGAGGTCCACCGCAGCAAAAGACATAAACACCGGACTAAGCTAGCTTACACAAAAGCTACTCGCCATAAAGGCATAATACATAAGAAACCAGGATGTAGAAAACAAAGCCGCACAGAGGTGAGCTATGGGAACCCAAAGATCCAGTTATCCCTGAAGGGCAGGGGCATGCACAAGGGCCTTACCCTTCTGTAGGAGCCAAACCTTTGCCCTCTTTCTCATCCCACTCTGCTTCTTCCAGTATTCTTATCAGTCTACTTATTTACTTAGCATAATTAAGTACAGAAATTCAGAAGGAAACATCAGTACAGACCACGGCAGACACACCAGGTCACTGTAGACACGGCAAGCTACTGTGGACACAACAGGCCACTGTGAACATACCCACGCCATTGTGCGCATCGATGCTGGTGAACTCCAGTGTGCCATCATGGCATCTTTTGGGATCTTCTTTGTACTCTTTATGAACTCCATCTGGGCAGTACCGATAAGCAAGTCCATAGTCTACCAAGTACACCTATAAATTTCCAAGTGCCAAATTAAAGACAAAAAATCAACCCACATGTATCACTCAAAAAGTTCAGAAATAGCCGGGTGGTGGTGGTGCACACCTTTAATCCCAGCTCTTGGGAGGCAGAGGCAGGCAGATCTCTGTGAGTTCGAGGCCAGTCTGGTCCACAAGAACTAGTTCCAGGACAGGCACCAAAGTTACAAAGAAACCCTGTCTCGAAAAAACAAAACAAAACAAAAAGTACAGAAACAAAATACAACCACTTGGGGGTAAATTAACCTACGAGGGCAAACAGCAGCTCTCCAAACAAGTCAAATCTAGTATGAACATTGTAAAAGTACTGAACCAACCCCTACCTCCTCTGGAACGCTGGGAATTGCACCAAACGTTTCATAAATGCTAAACATGAGCTCTGCCACTGAGCTATTATCTCTGAGTAATTCTTACCTTTTTTTTTTTTCTTTCATTTTTCAAAGCAGGGTTTCTCTGTGTAACTTTGGCTGCCTTGGAACTCACTCTGTAGACCAGACTGCCCTCAAACTCACAGAGATCTACCTGCATCTGCCTCCCAAGTGCTGGGATTACAGGTGTGAGTCATCATTGCCCAGCCCTAATTCTTACTTTTAAGAAATCTTATTTTCTTTGCAGTATTGAGTCTAACTCAGGACCTTCCTCTGCCACTGAGCTACCCAACCCTCTCACCAACAACTTTTACTTTTAATTAATGTGAAATGACCATGAAGTGACAGTTCTTAGAAACTATTTCACTTTGCATATTTTCTTAGAAAAGTATGTGCTAAACTTCTAACTAATCCTGAGCAAAGCTTACTGGTGTCAAGTTTTTCTTAGAGTCTAGAACATAACTACCACACAAAGTAAGCTTTCAAGACAAAGTAAGCTTTCAAGACTCCACAAAGGAGAGAGATGAACAATGTCAGCACACAGTACAACAGCCGTCTTCTCTTGAGTCTTTACCTGCAGGCCTATTTACATCATAATTATTCAAGGGCTAAAATAATATTCAAAACTCTTATATGAGGTCTTTACCTACAGTTTAAAATACTACATTTAAAGTCGAGACTTCCAGATTAAAGCTAATTTGGAATGCAGACAGAGGAATCCAATGAGCAAAGTCTGTTGCTCTGACTAGCACACAACATTAGTACATGTGGCACCCATCTGATAGCCACACATACCTGATTCTCTGTCACAAATGCAGGCTCCCATATACATGTGAGCACAAAGATGGACTGAGTACTGGGAAAGTAACCCCATCCATGCATGCCTGAAAGGTAGGAGAGATGCACATGGCTGTCAAGTGCAAACTAACAGGAGTCAATTTTTTAGTAGGACTAGGCCAGTCCCCCCTAATCCAGCTATAGGACCTCTACTGTTCAGGTTCTTAGCTGTATTCAAGGAAACAGCTCAAATGAGATGGCTGCGGAGAGGTGAACCCTGCAATGCCTCACAGAGCGCCCCAGCACAGCAACTCTCTTTCTTTTGGCGCACTACACACACCCCTGATGATCTCCATAGCCTATCTAGGGGAAGCAAACACAGTGTGGTAGAAATGGAGGCAATCAAAAGAAAAAGGGAAATCTAAGCCATAGGTGGTTGCAAACAGGTAGCTCTATGAGAAAGAGCCAAGTTCATAGAATGTGGACAGACCACTGCACCAAACCAAGCACTCAGAACTTCCTTCTTATATAACACCAAGAAGTGCCATTCCAGCATCTTCTCTGCATAAAACATGGAAATGGCTACAAGCATCCTGTATGTCACTGACAACCGAGTTGACTCCAACACAGGTATACAACAGAGCTTTCTCCTCTTAAACACAGAACTGCAAAGGGAACGAAGCAAACTGAAGATGCACACCTGCACTGTGCCCTAAGGACAGACAAGTTCAGACTGCTCTGGCAGTCTGTACACCAAATACCAAACTTTCTGAGTAGCAGACACATCTGATGGAGCTCTTGAACAAAGGAAATTTAAAAAGGTGACAGAGCGGACAGGCAGATCTAATTCATTGGTGCACTATATAATTTTAAGCTTCCACCCCCAAATAGCTATTTGAAATTCATTTTGTACCCAGTACTTCTGAATATTATTTAGGACAAATGAGCCAACTTGATGAAGTGCCAGCAGTTCAAACTGCAGCAAGAATGCAGGATGGCAACAATATAAAAGTGTCTGAAGAACAGCACTGTTGGTGTAGCTACAACAAAAAAAAGAAGCAGAACTTGTGGGGGGTTCAGTACAGAGCACCCTACTTGCCCATGCAGCATGTTTTACAACAGCAAATATTGAAGTTATAAGGACCTGGTCAGGGTTCTTGTAGCTCAGAAGAAGGTTGGAGGCTTTGATGTCCCCGTGCACATACTCATGCTCGTGGATGTATTCCAGGATATCCAGCTATGGAGAACACACACAGTAAATTAATGCAGTACCAAACACGGCCAGCAGAGGACTGAGCTGTGACAGAAACAGCCCTTACTGCATCCACAAACAAGGATCAGAGCTCACATACAATTCTTAAGCTTAGCTGCAAAACAGTTTTCCGAGAAAACCTTTTGGCATTTGCTTCATATATTTTCTGAAGGTCACTCCCAAAGCGGTCCATTATCATAAACCTGTAACTGAAGACAAACAAGGAAAGTCAGTGAGGGAAATAACTAGGAACATGCATAGCAATGAACATTCTCCCTTCAGATTATGTCAAATTATGCTTAATAAGGCAGTATTATAAAAGAGGAGGAAAGGGGCATGAACACATACCATAAAGATTTCTCCCATCTAGATAGAAATCTCAAGAATTCAGACTGCTGTACTGTCCTGTCTACCACAGGGCAGAAAACCCTGACTGCTCTTTGGACTGGAGAGGGAGGGGGAAAGGAGTGGGGGGAGGGGGAGAAGGGTGGGAGGAGGGGGAGAAGGGTGGGAGGAGGGGGAGGGAAATTGGAGGCTGGGAGGAGGTGGAAACTTGTTTTTTTTTTTCTTTTTACTCCTTTTCTCAATTAAAAAAAAAAAGAGAGTTGCCCAAAGTCTACTGTGTCTACTGAAATCATGAAGACAGACACACAAGACAAAACTCCCCATGGGATGAGCACATAGCCACAGAAGTCAGCTGGTGCACCTCACCCCACAGTTTACCTCACCCAGGGCACTCGCCAGGCAGGCGCTCTTCCATCCTATTTTACAGAAGAACATTTTAGTGCCCTCCCCTCAAACCAAGTGGGCCCATGGTTTGAACCACTGTCTTCCACACACTGGAATAATAACAGTGTACAACACAAAAGTCACACTTCCATAATGTAGGTTTTTATGACAATAAAATATGGTGAGTTACAAGGAAACAGTCAGCTAATACTAAAAGATGGTGTCATAACATAAAATAAAGGATCCTATCCATTTTTTGAACTAGAAGAGAATTAGAGACTGTACATTTTTTTTTATTAGATAGTAATGCTTTAGGAGGTAAAGTTTATGTCAAAGTCATACTATCAAGTAGGGGCAAAATATCCATTTGTATCAAGATCCCCACAAAATATCCATTTGTATCAAGATTCCCACAACTCTGGCCTCTAATATAATAGAGAACAGTCATGTGACTTCCCAATATAGGTAGGCAGGTTTTGCACAGTTGAGAGAGAGGAGCCTCTTCCAAAGAGTTAGCCTGTGTGATCATTACAAAACTGAATAACAGTGTAACCTTTAACCTTTGCCGACAGTCTGTGCCCTAGGGTCACTACTCCTGTGATGAAGCACCAAGACCAAAGCAACTGGGAAGAAAAGAGTTTATTAAACCTACACTTCCACATCATTGTTTATCATTAAAGGAAGCCAGGGCAGGAACTCAAGCAGGGCAGGAACCTGGAGGCAGGAGCTTAGAGGCCAAGGAGGGGTGCTGCTTACTGGCTTGTTTAGCCTGCTTTCTTATAGAACCCAGGACCACCAGACCAGGGATGGCACCACCACAATGGGCTAGACCCTCCCCATCAATCACTAATGAACAAACTGCTCTAAAGGCTGGCCCATAGATCAATCTTATGGAAGTATTTTCTCAATCAAGTTTCCTCCTCTCAGGTAACTCTAGCTTGTGTTCAGTCGACACAGACCTAGCCAGCAGAGTCTGGAAGATGGGAACACTGTCTGATCAACACAAGGTCCACCACTAAAGCAGATTAACCAGGCCTTTGCTTTTACATGCAAATCACCCTTTCACTAACTCTGAACGAACGGCCCTAACATCTTCTCAACATTCCTAAATTATAAACAAATGACACACACAAACTGTTAGCATGTTCTCCTGAGAGAGAACTCTAAGACTGAATATTAAGAGAAAGCTGCTTCCAAACATGTCAGGTAAGGCCTCTGATGCTTTCTTTTTCAGGGACTTGGCTAAATGCTTCAAGTAATGAGAAAATATTAATTAGAACAAACAATTCCCAAATGGCAACAGAAGTATTTTTTTACAGTCCTCATACTGTCCTAATCACTCCCAAACAAGTTAAAGGAAAAGTAAGGATGGCTAGCAGGGGAGGCAGTTGGAAGAAGAATCCTATGTTCTATTTCTTCACTTCTGAAAGACTTATGTGATTATTTTTAGTGCTTCAACCTACAGTCAACACTTCATCCACGACCAGTCTGAGTCTCTTGCTCCACTGAGGAAGGTCAGTAAGCTCAGTTTCAGAAGGAATCATTACTAACAATAAACTGAGACACAGTTGGAGACTCGCTCAGCTATAGTTACCCACTCTGAGTCCTCTGAAGCTCCTGTCAGGTACCCTTTGAACAACCAGCCTTCCACCCACTACCTCTCTCTGGATTCCAGGGAGCCCCAGACTCCCTAAGAGGAGATGCATGGCTCTCTAGTAAATAAAACTGGCAGGCTTACACACTGGTCGCCCCATTCTCAAGTCTTTGCTAACACAGTACCAATTTGGCTTGGGCATTCCCTCCCCTTCCATGTATCAGTGAAACCAAGAAACTTGTGTGACCTGTGTGGCTTCTTGAACCTTTCCAGTGGCAGGTTTAAGCATAAGAATTACAAAACTGTGACCAAGAAAATGTATAAAGAAGTCTCACAGGACTCCAGGAGAAGTTCCTTGATAGGAAAACTCACAAGACATTGACACCAATTTCTGACACTGGCACCGTGTCTGCATGTGAGGTCAAGAAATGGAACAGCTTCCCCAGTGACACAAAAGGATATTAACAGAGAGCTAGACAATGAGGGTAACTGTGCAAGACAAACAAAGATGTACCTACAACCCCAGACTCAAGTTAGGCCCCAAACTATGGTGGATAGAGGGAAGCAGAGTTCAATCTTAACCCTCCCCTCTGCCGCCCTACAGCCCAGATGTACACCTAGTTATTGTGGGTGCTCAGCAATAAATTCCCAACTAAACCAACCCAACAAGAAATGCTTAAAATGTAGATTTTTACCTCTTTCCATTTTTATCATGTAGACCAGATCCCCAATACTTAGGAACACCAAGGTACTTCAATTTATGTGTACGAATCCATTTCTGAACTAGAAGTTGAAAGAGAGGCCTGCGATGACAACTTCTGTATGTAAATGGTCATTTCAAAACAAATAACTACGAGGAGAGCATACATACATGAGCAACAAACAAAACCACTCCTACTTGTAACAGGATGAGAAGAGCACAGAGGAACACAAAGTATCATAAAATTTCTACCAACCTGCAAAACAGTGCTCGGCTGTATCTTTGTCTTGAACTGGCCAGCTGTGAAACCAGTTCTGAAGTGCACAGCAACAGCACCGCTTAATGACATAGTTTGCCTGCTTCCCACCCCAATCTCTAGAAACACAGGGCTGTCTCCTTCAGTATTACATCTCTTCTTCACCTTGCAAATCAAGATGTAGGAGACACGGAGGTGCTGCTCCCACTCCCCTACTGTAGGAGTTGGGGCCTCAGATACACAAGAGATGAGAGCAGCCAGGAGGCTCGTTCACTGCACTTGGTCTCAGCAAACCCAGTGCCCACCCCTGTTCATGTGCTTCAGGTTTTAGCAAAATGCTCAAAAGAGTTAGAGACCATGTACTCGCACTTGTCAATTAAGGTAATTCGTATATTTCTTAGGCCATATACCATTGATTATTCATATACCAACAAACCAAACAGCAATACATCAGAATGACTTCCTGCAAATACCATTTGAATGGAATTTGTGTATGAAGCAAACACAAACAGAGCCACAGGATGTGACACTTTAACCTAGCTTATGTGAAATCAAGTCAGGCAAACTGCTTACTTTTACATATTTAAACCTTTAACAAGACAATTTTAAACATATTTATTGTTTCTTACTTTGCTCTGGTTTAGCAGCCCGCTGGTAAAACTTCAGTTCAGTGAAAAGAGGTCCATTGTCACTGGGTTCCTTAGAATACAAGAGTCAATTAAAATTACTGAATTATTTTCACTGAGCCTTCAAAAATGGAGTAAATCTAATTTTTCCTACAACAAAATGTAACTTTGGTATTTAAATTTTTAAGCTATTAAAAGATTAAATTCAACTCCTTAGAAATATTTTCCATGTTCTCACAATAATCTTTATTTCTCTGAAGCTCAACTTTCATAAGTGATGAATTATCAAAAATTTAGTTCTCTCTGCAGAAGTTTAAGACAAATGTTTAAACTAATTTTCATCTTTATTAAGCAAAGGCCAGCAACCATGCTAAATGTATCACCACCAAGGGCCTACAAGACATTCCCGAGATTTAATAAGATTCAACCCTGATTTAACCAACTAAGGCTGGACTTCCATTCCTTTCCTTCATTCTTCCCTTGGTTCTACCTAGTTATCAGAACCAGCAGGAATGGATCTGGATCTCCAGAGCAAAACAGCACTCTGCTCTTTGCTTTCTGACACTGACTCCTATGTTTCTCAGACAAAGAAACCTCCAACTTTTGTAAAGTCAAAAGGAATTAGAGCTAAATAACTGTTTCCCCCAACTTTACTAGACAGTATCTATTTCCTATTTCAGTGCTCTGCTGTATCTTTGTCTTGAACTGGCCAGCTGTGAAACCAGTTCTGAAGTGCACAGCAACAGCACCGCTTAATGACATAGTTTGCCTGCTTCCCACCCCAATCTCTAGAAACACAGCCCACGTTGTTTAATAAATATGGATAAGGAATAAGCTATTATTTTGTTGGCTTTTTAAATACTGAGTTTGGTCTGGCTTATTGATAGTAGTATTTACTTAATGTTTGATATTTTATACTGATTTTAAAGGAATGACAACTTCAAATAGGAAAGCAAACATTTCTAAACTAATCTGAGCAAAGTATTTTGGACAGAAAACCTGCATGGCTGAAGTTAAGGTTCAGAGCTCATTAGACCTGGCAAAGATCTGAGCTGCAGCTCTTCCCCATCTCAGCAACATCTGCTCCAAACCCTGAAAATAAGTACATCTACATTTTCTCCACTGAAGAAACCCTCCATTACTACAGAAGTTAATTTGGGTCCTTGAGATGTCAATTAAAACCTTTATTCCATAGACAGTTCTCTCAGCTCACAAGTCTCCAGGTAGCATGTCTACCTGACTCGACTCATCGGCAATCAAGCATACCTAACTCCAGAGAGCATGTAAGTCACAAATGGGCAACGCTCGGATCAGAAAGAACCCAAACGGTTTGCCATACTTGCTATAGCTCAGCCTCAGGAAATCAGTGTTCAAGGGCCTTAAACGTCACCAAGCTCTGACCCAGATCAAGTCCCTGTACTCAAGTGCAAATGTCAAGGGCCTAATTGATGTGCTAAAGCAAAAAACTCTCCCTACCTGTTTCTCAGCTGCACCAGGAGCCAGAAACATGAGCAAATGGGATTGAGCAAGTCACAGAATAAGTGAAATTAAAGAAAAAGAATTTTGGTTAACTTTTAGAATGACTCATTAATAAAACCCAGACTTGAAGGACACTTTCCCAAGACCACTCCTGGCTTACTACCAACAACGTAAAGCTTTTGATTTATTCAGTTTCAGCCTACATCCTATCAACTTTAATTTTCAAGTTTCCTTCAAGCAATAATTTATTAAACTTCTAATGTGACTCAACCATATAAATGAGAATGTTATAATGCAGGCTTTCTGAGCACTTTCTTACATTAGCTATCCAATAGGCTTCCATTATGACAAAGTAAAGGAACTACTTCTTGGCACTGTGCTTTAGCTGAAGCGAGCTATCTGTGGAGAAAATACCTTATCTCAGAACTAAAATTGTATTAACATATTTCAAATCTAAAATACTTTGCCAACTCTATAATAGCCAAGATTTAGAAAAGAAATTGGGACTGACATTTTAACTAGAATATCACTAAACGTTTCCTTAAGACTTCTAAGTGTCAAAATGACGATGACAACAGGAAAAAAATTAAAATGTGATATATTTCAATGGCACCATCCAAAAGCAACTGGCTGCCATTTAAAAATGAAGCTGTACAAAGTTTCTCCTTCTTACCAAAAAAATTAAGATATCTAAATTGAAAATTCACCACACACATCATAACATCAGGCAAAGTCCTTCCCAGGAGGCTATGAAATAGAAACCATCAGTTCTCCAAGAAAGGACCACCAAGCACCAGCTCTGGGTGACACAAACTGGAAGCTATCTTCAGGCTTCCAATTCTGTTCCCACAAAGGTGACAATGACTCAAAGAACTAATTCTTACTAAGTCTTCGGTTAACTGTGGGAGGGAAGAATTAGAAAAAAGTCTTCTCATATTATCCAGTTTACTTATTTACTACTTCTCCCTGACCTCCTAATTTCATATGCACACACGTGTGTGCCCACACACACACACAGCCTCTGAAAGTAGAGATAAGCTAACTTATGACACAGAAGCACTATCCTATAGCACCTTGCATCAGTAAAGGTTGAAGAAGGCCCTAAGCACACACAGGAGGCAGTGTGTGGGAGATGCTGAGACATCTAACGTGCATGTGTGTCTTACGTTCACACCAATACCAAATGAAGGTCTACAGAGCTCATTCACAAAGCAGGCATGTCAGAAGTAACCAAGTTCTCAAGGTGGAGACTCAGAGCAGAAGCATGGGAAAGGATCTCAGAGTCAAAGTCCAGATCTGGAGACATAATCCCATCCGACATGATAATGGTTCACAATGCGGCAGGTTCTAATCTGGATCTCCACCTGACTTATCAAGACTTGGTTAAAGTTATGTGATTATATAACTTTGCAGTAAAAATCAACTTAGCTGTATGTCTTAAATAACTTGCCCATTTTTGTTCTAAAAATAAAAGGCATGCTCATTTTTCCAATGCACAAGTATCGTGGTATGTCTCTTCATAGAACCATCTTATAAAGACCCTTACATACTAAACTTCACATCTTGCTGTTCTGGTATCGTGCCCAGGCAGTCATTCATGTTCTCTGAAAACACAAGCCTTAGCTAGCACTGCAGCAGCCACAGAAACCTGCCTAGCAGCCAGCAGGCTTTGCACCCATTTCAGCACCGCACATACAAGCACCTGTCACAACCCTCATGTTTATGTCTGAATGGCAACTGTTCTGGTTTTAATGCAGAAAAGGTTTATTAATCGCCCTACATGCTTGTATTTGATGTCCACCTCCACTTTGAAGACTACAAAGCTGTAAGAAGAGAAATGATGATCCAGTCTATCTATTCCCAATAGAGAAAGGTGAATCAAAATGATAAAAGTAAATGAACAGAAAAACAGGTAAAAGGGGATAGAAAATTATACCTTAATAAACAAACAAACAAACAAAACAGGAATGTAAGAACTGCATAAGTAAAGGACATTTGAAAAAAGGTCATTATCGAGTAACTTAAAATCTACTTAGATTTTAGAGAAATACACACAATTTTTTTGAATGGCATCATAAGGATATTAAAAGTGAAATTGTATAATAAATGACAATACAGTGATTGACACAGGAATTTAAAGGACCCAAAGGTTTCAGTCACCAAGAGAACAGCAGCCAACTATGCCTAGACTCCCCTCTGAAGGCTGGGCAGCTGTTCTTCCAGGACCACAGACCACAACGCTGGAAGAACTACTAAAATATGAATCACAAGAAACCAAGCACTCATCACCATCTCTATTACAAAGAGAAGAACAAAGGACAACAGAAGACACAGAATATTAGACTAGGTCTGAAAATAAACATCCTTAAAACTTAGAACTTCAATGTGCTCTGATTAAATAACTGGAAATAATGATCCTACCCATTTCCCCTCAGCCAGATAAGTAAAAAAGGTAGAAAAGTGAAGTTCATTCCACTTATAATGAAGCTCAAAGTTCTAAGGTAAAACAGAGGCTGCCAGAGGTTCAGCTCACACAGAACAGAACAAACGCCATCACTTAGCACTCTCCTTCTAAGACTTGGAGACAAGTATGCAAATTAGCCAGCTGCAGAGGGGTCTGAAAGCCTGGACCAGTTTGCTCCACACAGTCTTGAGTCATAGGAGGCTTACTTCCTTCTCAATGGAATCCTCTGAAGACACTTAGAAACTAATCTTACCCACAGGTGTCATGTTTCCGTCTGTACAGACGACAGGTACAGACAACTCCCCGCAACTGATGCACATGACTAGTGTCACCCTAAGAACTCTATTTCCTCTGCCTGCCAGCAAACCCAGCAGTTCAGAAGGAACGCCATTCCACAAGGAGAAAGAAAGCTCCAACGTGGAAGGACAGGAGACAAGGGAACGAATGGCAGGAGACACAGACACAGGCACAGGCACTAATTAATACGCCACGCAGGACGGGCAGAGGCTGACTAAGGCCTATAAATAAAGGCTGTGGAAGCACTCACCTCACACACTCCACAATGGCGCTCAAGACCTGCCTGCACTCTAGAAGATGAGACACGAGTGCACACCCAGAGGTCCTTGGGATAAGGAGCCAGTGCAGCCACTGGGAATCAAACAGCCAATGCTGCTGACAACAAAGCCGGTCAGACTCAAAGAGTCTAATATAGAAATACTTCTGGAAAAAGTAAAGATCATGATGCCTTACGAATAAAGACACAAAAGTCCTGAGCAAAGCAATTCCAAACGACATAAGAAGCCTACTTCAGTCTACCTAAATGGGGTATATGCTACAGCTTTAGCTCAGTATCAGAAGCCATATTAACCAAAGAGGAAAAGAATCTAACAAGTCAGCTAAAAAGATATATAAAAGCATTTAAAAATGAACAAGGCAACTATAAACTAGAAGGAAATAGTTATAACACACATATCAGAAAATAAGATTTAGCCAGAATAACTCACCCTACTCAACTATAAAAGGCAACACAACCCAGTTATTACAAATAATTTTCTTAAGAAGAAGCAAGAGACTGAAGAAGCACTTATCACAAGGAAAGGGGGCTCACTTATGTGCTTGGAAGTAAACGCAAACTGAAACCACAAGACAACCACCGCAAACCTTCGATAAGGGCTAGGAAAGTAAGCAAGCTCACAAAGCTGGGCACACCCACTGTGGGCTGTCAGCAACCACTGGCAATGTGAAAACCCGCAAGTCACTTCAGAAATAGGTCCGGAACTTTTTAAAAATGTAAATGTTTATCCTTCCTACAGAGAAGCGATTCAGCTTCTAAGAGAAACAAAAGCCTATCCCCACCAAAAGATCCTCCAACAACCTACATGGAAGGTTTCTAACAGTAGCCCGAACTATAAACAGCCCAAATGCCTTCAGCGGGTCAATAAAGTACAGTAAATGACTGATAAACTAAAAATACAGTGATCCTTTACAAATATCATGCTGAACACACAGCATTTTATCTCGCATAAACTCTAGACAGGGGAAATAACTGAGAAGGGGACAGGGCTCAAACTCAGGACACAGAGTTCTCTAGAGGCAGCAGAGAGGAGATACTGCTTGCTCTACAAGGGGCAAGGGTGACACACTTGCACATGCCTGTCACATGTCTTCACATACTGATTTATTAGCTTAATGTGTACTGAAAAATTACACTTCTTAGTAAATGTTTTTTACATGCTCACTAAAACAAGGGCTAGCAATAGCTCTGCAGCTAAGAGCACTGGCTGCTCTTCCAGAGGACCTGGATTGTATTCCCAGGACTCACATGGCAGCTCACAACCATCCTCCAGCTTCAGAGGATCCAATGCCCTCTTTGGCCTGCAGGGCACCAGGCACACACATGGTTTACAGACATAGATGCAAGAAAGCACACATCAAATAAATAAATTAGAAAAAAAAAGGAAAAAAACCTCTCAATTCTGGTCTAAATTGGCTCCTAGGGAGTCAAATATATTATATTTGAATACAATAAAATGAACGACAAATTCTGAGGCACTTCTAAGTCCCAGGATCTATAACTTTAGTGAAAAAAAGAAGATGACAGGGAATGCGCACTGAGCTCTCCACAACTCCTCTGCTGGCTCTATTTAACAAGGGTCTACACGTGTATCAAATACGGGGTGAGGGGAACTACAAGCTCTGCTGAGCAGAACAATGTCTAAGTGCAGAGAAAATAAAAACGGTGATTAAATATAAAGATGCCTCAGTTCTCCAGTCTGTAACTGGCCTCGTTACTCAGTGTCCAGTGTGGCGCTACCAATCCCTGCACATGCCACTAACTGCAGCATAAGAACAGCAAAGAAGGCCCTGCCACCCCAGGGGAGAGAATCACAACTACTTAAAATGAACATGGAAGGGAATAAAACTGACAGCAGGCAAAATAAATAAATATACGGATGGATGAATGAATGGACAGAAAGACAGACAGATAGAGGGATGGATGGATAAAAAACGCCCAGGACAAAATACAAAAATAAAAATCAGCTTAGCATGATGTTCCAGGATATAAATATAAAACGTGCCTGCCTGGTGTGAAACAGATACTTCCACCCCTGCAGACCTCTGTCATTTTCCACATACCCTCAAATTGTGCCCCTCTAGTTCAGGGGAGCTGAAGACTCTGAACTCAAGTTACTTAAAACTATAAAACTACTTATGTACTTCATTAAATATTTATGAAACATAATTAACAATGCAATACCTTATGGTTTAATTCTAGTCATCAAAAAAGATGTTTTACAAAATAAATCCCAACTTACACTGATAAAAGAAAAAAAATGAGCAGTATTTTCTTACCACTTTCACAACACAGGGTGCGTCACTGCCAACCGGTTTGGAAGAATTTGTGTCCGCTGTTTAAAGAGTGAGACATTCACATTAGAACAAGCAGTGTTGCACAGACAGCAAATGACAGACACATAGGCCTACAGCCCTGCAGCCCTGTGAAGAGTGAATCCCAGTCCCCAAGTGGCATTTCCCAGCATCACTACAACACTGCCCCTAGTCAAAGACTTCTTCATGTGTAGACTGTATCTAGCAGTTTTTGGTTTCTTCTATTTGGTCAGCCGATACAAAGTTAAGGCTATTTCTTTTATACAGAAGTCCTCTGGTCATTGGTATGTTGTACAGTGAATCCCTGGAGGATGCAGACTGGTGAAAGCCCAGGGTCTAACAAGCTATATAGCCCTTTAGGAAAGAACAGCCAGAAGCAGAAGTGCTGACCCCAGACACTAGTTATGCAGAGCAATACTTGGGGCACCGCCATGCAGAATGGGAAGCCTTTCCAAACTCATCAACAAGTACCTACACTGTGACATTTTCTAAGAAATGGAAATTTCCAGCTGGGCAGTGGTGGCATATTCCTTTAATCCCAGGACTTGGTAGCAGAGGCAGGTGGATCTCTGTAAATTTGAGGACAGTCTGGTCTACACAGTGAGTTCTAGGATAGCCAGAGTTGTTACACAGAACCCTATCTCAAAAAGGGGGGGGGGTAATTTGCAAGTGGACAGAGGAAAAAAAACAGTTCTTCTGGCTGCCATTTGAGCAGTAAAATACAAACATCACATAAAATATAAAGCATGTTTGATGTGATAGGAGAGATAGAATTTTAAACAGTGAAGGGGGTAGGCAGTGTTGCAGTGTGTTAAGAAGAGCCTGGGACATCGCTAAACCATGAAACAGTTTAAGCCACAGGAATTCACAGGAAGAGCATTCTACATGGACTAGCACCAAAGGCCCCCATATGGGAGTGTTACAAGCATTTGTAAAGCCAGGACACCAATGGACAGAGAAAGACCATGATATAAAAAGGGCAGAATACCCATTAAAAAGCAGCTGGGATCAAACATGAAGGGCTTAACAATATCAAGGTTAGGACTGCTGCTGTAACAGAGACAGGAAGCCTCCAAGGTTTTGCCAAAAGGACTAGCATAACCCAACTTTGATGGGGCTGCTTGGGAGAACTGTGTGCAGGCAAGCCAAGAACAGAAGCAGGCAGAGCAATGAAGAGATCTGATAGTATAATAGTGGGGCAGAGTGTGCTCTGACAACTGCATGGGCCCACCAAGGTGGTGCTAGCAGACTGTGATCATAGACTCAAAAGGCAGCTAACAGGACCTCGATGCAGGACCAGGATGCAGAGGAAGAGACACTTCTAGGGTTTGGGCACAAAACTGCATCAAAAGCTGCAAATGGAGAAATGCAGGAGAGTACTTTGGGGTATCTTGTTTGGGACACTTACTAATCTAAGTTCAGATGTTGCTATGGTTTGAAACTAAAATGTCCCCAGACTTGTATTTTGAACACTTATGCTCATTTGATGGTACCCTTGAGAGGCAGCAAACCTTGAAAAGGAAGTAGGTTACTGGCTGAGGACCTCTGACAGTTACAGCCCCCCCCCCCCAGTTCAGACCAACACTCTCTGCATCCTGGTCTGCTGCACTGTGGATGGCTGTCCTCCACTCCTGCCACTACCAGGTTCCCCTCATATGTACGAGCTGCAACTCTAGACTCAAGGTCTGTGAGCCAAAGCAAATCCTCCCCTTTAGGGTGTCTGACCATAACAACACAAAGCGGCTGATACCCCTTATAGTCACCCCTGCATATATGTCTCAAAGTCTTAGTGATTAGCTGAGAAATGCTACCTATCAGGTTGAGGATCTAGTTCAGTAGAATAGCACATCCATCCCTGCATAGGTGAGGTCTAGGTTCAGTCTCCAGCACAGTTTAAATGAAAAGACTATTTATTTAGAGCCTCACATTATTTATTTAGAAATCTCCTAAGGAACAAACAGAGAGAGAAAAGAAATGCTAGGACAGATCGCAAAGGCACCCCTACCTCGGAACAGAAGATAGGCAGACTGAGAAAACAGAAAATAAAACCAAAGAAGAATTGCAGCCAAAGCACTTCAAACACAGGACAAGCACCAGCTTCTAGAAACACTCACTCAGTGAAGAAGAGCTCTGAGCTCCCTAAGAACAGCCCCAGGGAGCAGCACTTAGATGCTGAATTAGGAATAAGGCAGGTTCAGAATCTTTAACAAACATGAAAATGAAGATAGCATCCCAGTACTACTGCACACTCCAGTGAGAAGAGACACAATGTTTCTCCACAACACACGCACACACTATGCCAGACACAAAGAAGACAAGAGCTATGCCGTGTCAACAAGGAGGTTTACCCTGCAACTGAGAAAAGAATTCACGTGTGTGGGGGAGGCATCATGAAAGAGGATAAAGGGAATAAATAAAAGGAAAGCAACAAGCTCTGTGTAAAACCAAAATGGAGAGAGATTCAATGCTTCCAAGTTCAGACGTTATACACAATTGCTACCACATCGGGCAGCTTCAATGTATCAGTGTACACAGCAATGAAGGCATCAATCTTGAAGCAAATCCTCCTTCTCTACACAGAGAGCAAAGTCCTAAGTCACAGATTGTTTGTTAAGTATTAAAAATACTCAAATCCAAGAACACATCAGAACCATCATCTACCATGACCAAGTCGGCTTCATCCTACAGATGCAGGGATGGTTCAACATATAAAAATCTGTCAACGTAATCCACCACATAAACAAGCTGAAAAATAAAAACCACATGATCATCTCATTAGATGCCAAAAAAGCTTTTGACAAAATACAACATCCCTTCTTGATAAAGGTCTTGGAGAGAGCAGGGATACAAGGAACATACCTAAAGATAATAAAGGCAATATACAGCAAGCCAACAGCAAACATCAAACTAAATGGAGATAAACTCCAAGCGATCCCACTGAAATCAGGAACAAGACAAGGTTGTCCACTCTCTCCATATCTATTCAATATAGTTCTTGAAGTCTAAGCTAGAGCAATAAGACACCAAAGGAAGATCAAGGGGATACAAATTGGAAAAAAAGAAGTCAAACTCTCACTGTTTGCTGATGATATGATAGTTTACATAAGTGATCCCAAAAATTCTACCAAGGAACTTCTACAACTCATAAACACTTTCAGCAATGTAGCAGGATACAAGATTAACTCAAAAAAATCAGCAGCCCTCCTGTACACAGATGATAAAAGGGCTGGGGAAGAAATCAGAGAATCAAAAACTTTCACAATAGCCACAAACAGCATAAGATATCTTGGGGTAACTCTAACCAAACAAGTGGAAGACTTGTATGACAAGAACTTTAAATCTTTGAAGAAAGAAATGGAAAAATCTCCCATGCTCTTGGGTAGGCAGAATTAACATAGTAAAAATGGCAATCTTACCAAAAGCAATGTACAGATTCAACACAATGCCCATAAAAATCCCAGCAAAATTCTTCAAAGACCTCGAAAGAACAGTACTCAACTTCATATGGAAAAGCAAAAAACCCAGGATAGCCAAAACAATCCTGTACAATAAAAGAACTTCTGGAGGCATCACAATCCCTGACTTCAAACTCTACTACAGAGCTAGAGTACTGAAAACAGCCTGGTACTGGTATAAGAACAGACAGGAGGACCAGTGGAACTGAATAGAAGACCTGGGTATCAAGCCACACATCTTCAAACACCTGATTTTTGATCAAGAAGCAAAAAATATCAAATGGGGAAAAAAAGCATATTTAACAAGTGGTGCTGGCATAACTGAATATCAACATGTAGAAGAATGAAAATAGACCCATATCTATCTCGATGCACAAAATTTAACTGCAAACGGATCAAAGACCTCAACATAAAGCCAACCACACTAAACCTTATAGAAGAGAAAGTGGGAAGTGCACTTGAACTCATTGGCACAGGGAACCACTGCCTAAATATAACCCCAGCAACACAGACACTGAGAGAAACAATTAATAAATGGGACCTCCTGAAACTGAAAAGCTTCTGTAAAGCAAAGGACACGGTCAACAAGACAAAACGACAGCCTACAGAATGGGAAAAGATCTTCACTAACCCTACATCAGACAGAGGTCTGATCTCCAAAATATACAAAGAACTCAAGAAACTGGACACCAAAAGAACACATAATCCAATAAAAAAATATAGAATACAGACCTAAACAGAGAACTCTCAACAGAGGAATCTAAAATGGCTGAAAGACACTTAAGGAAATGTTCAACATCCTTACTCATCAGAGCAATGCAAATCAAAACAACTCTGAGATCCCATCTTACACCTGTAACAATGGCCAAGATCAAAAACACTGATGACAGCTTATGCTGGAGAGGTTGTGGGGTAAAGGGAACACTTCTGCATTGCTGGTGGGAATGCAAGCTGGCACAGCCCCTTTGGATGTCAGTGTGGCGATTTCTCAGAAAATTGGGAAACAACCTTCCTCAAGACCCAGTAATACCACTTTTGGGTATATATCCAAAGGATGCTCAATCATACCACAAGAACATGTGCTGTTCAGCTTTGTTTGTCATAGCCAGAACCTAGAAACAACCTTAATGCCCTTCGACCGAAGAATGGATAAGGAAAATGTGGTACATTTACGCAATGGAGTACTACAAAGCAGAAAAAAATAACAACATCTTGAATTTTGCAGGAAAATTGATGGGGCTAAAAAACATTATTTTTAGTGAGGTAACAGACACAGAAAGACAATTATCACATGTACTCACTGATAGGTGGTTTTTAAACATAAAGCAAAGAAAGCCAGCCTACAAACCACTACACAACAATAAGGACACTAAGAGAGACTTACATAGATCAAATCTACATGGGAAGTAGAAAGTAGAAAAAGACAATATCTCCTGAGTAAACTGAAAGCATGGGAACCTTGGGGGAGGGCTGAAGTGGGGAGGGGAGAGGAGGGGAGATCTCAATAGTATCAATAAAAAAAGTATTAAAAATACTAACAACTTGATGGCACATTCTAATGATAGAAATAAAACATCAAGCATACACACAAAGCAAGTTCCAAACTCACATAAGTCATAAGAGCAAGGACACTGAAATAGAAACAATACTATGCAGTAATGAAGAGCACAGGGTAGCATGGTGGCTCAAGCAGAGACTTTAGGGAGATGAAATGAACAACCTACTTAGCAACAAGTTTCTGTTAATGAACTCCAAAGTCCTGCAGTGACCACAGCACCTCCTCAGAGGAGGAAGCTTGAAATACATTATTCGGCTGCTATGATTAATGTAATTGAATGAGGAGCAAGTGACCTCATAAAAGGCTGCAGCATACAGAGCTGATGGTAAGTTCTAGAAATTTTAGGAAGTAGGACACAGCTGGAGAAGACAGTGGTAGGACACAGTGATAGAAGCCAGCAGGGGAATCTTGCCCTGGAGCCTTCTACTTCCAGTGCATCAGAGGAGACTCTCCTGTCACATGAGCCTACCATCATGACACTCTGCCCAAACACATGGAAACACAGGGGCATGGGGCCAAACAGCATGGACTGAACCCTCTAAAATCAGGAACTACAATGGCAGTGTTTGCTGTCACACACTCCCAACCCCCAAGGGTTATTTTATCACAACAAAGTGATCATTTCATGAACAGCTATGTTTTCGTGTTTTATGAGAACTTTCACCTTACATAAATATAGCCTACTTCATTGGGACAGCTCTGGTTCTAAACAAACCAGAGTAGCAGCGTATGCTTTTCCAAAGGCAAGTACAATCTCCATCAGGAGGCTTGGACACAAGATAGGGTACCAAAGTGCTGTTTGTAAGCTGTTTCATAAGACCAAGGGCAGAGCAGAGTTCCCAGTCACGGAAGTAAAGCAGGGTCAGCCCAGTGTGGTTCTCAAACCTCAGTATGCACCCAGCCACCTAAAGAGCTATTCAAACAGCTCCGCAGGCCTTCCCCAGTCTCTGAACCATGGGTAGGTGCGATATGAGAATGGCAATGCTAACAAGTTTCCAGGCGATATCAACCTTCACTGTAGTACTGACACTCCTAGTCAGATGTTGCTGGAAAGGGACAAAAATTAAGTTTTCATTTTATAGTAACTACTTGAAAGAAAACCACTTAAGTAGCTACATTTTATAGATCTTTACAGTTGTGGGTTTTTAAAAATGTCTATACATTTCATTTTATGTAAACTGTTCTAAACTGAAACTGTTATGGCTAGAGTGATGGCTCAATTGTTAGAAGTCCTGGTTGCTACTCCAGGGGACTGGAGCTCGATTCCTACCATCCATGGTGGCTCACAACCATATGTAACTCTAATCCCTTCTTCTAGCCTGTACCAGAAATAAATAATGTCTAAAAGTTCTGTAGAACTGGAGTTACAGACAGCTGTGAGCTGTCATGTAGATGCTGGGAATTGGGTCTGAACCAATGAGCCATCTCTCCAGCCCCAGGTAAACCATTTTTAATGTTGATAATTCAGTAAACTCACAGAAGTTCAGAATTCTAACTTGGTCTCCAACTATCCCAAGATAAGCACGCTAACTAATAGAACTAGCTATAGGTCAAGTCTAATATGGAGGAAAAAGGACGGATACACCTTTCCAGTCTCAAGATAACTTAGACTGTGTAGAAATCCTAAGACTCTTAGGATATTGTGTTTACCAGTAACAATTATCATAGCATTTTAATTTTTTCTATAATAAAATGAGCCATCTTCTATCTATATACCAGAGGTGATCTTATGATCAACCACACAATCTCAACGCAGATAATCAACAGCATCTTGCAATAGCTTAAATGAGAAACTATTTCATAAGAAACATTTGAGTCTTTATACTGATGACTAGTAATCACCATACACTTACCAAGATATAGGCAGCCAAAGCCACCCTGGCCAATGGGCAGTCCTAGTTTCCATTCTTTTTTAGACATGTCGGTTATGATCTCCCCAGCAGCAAACTGCTCTGCAAGGCGCCTCTTTGCAGGACCCTGTCTTCCAGCCTGAGCTGCTTTTGCACGTGGCATTTTCTCTGTAATAACAAAGCAATTTTGCTCACAATCATAACCTTAGAAGTGTTCAGAACATTCCCCTACAGAAGGCTTCTACTCAGCAAGGAGTGCCCAAGACTAAAGAGAAGGATGTCTACTAATTCTGGTCTGTAACAGCTAGGATCCTATTTGATTGTCGCTAAGCTTTGAATAGGAAACCATAAATATAATGCAATTATGGAAAGCACCTTAAGTTCCAGTGGCATACCATCTGTAACTAAAATACTACTTAGTAACAACAAAACAAGAACTGTTTTATGCAACTGAGGGAAGACATGCAATTAGAATGCACAATACCTCGTAATGCAGCCAAGAGATCCTAAGTAGTAGGGACGCGCTAAATCCAAGCACAGACTACAATCCCAATTAGGTATGCCCAAGGGGGAAGGACAGGACGTTTGTGGCACTAGAGTAGGTGCTGAGTAGGAACACTGCACCAGCACCATTTACACGAGGACAGAGGCTCAGCAGAGAAGTGGTACACACTACCAGCTAGCTCTACAAAGTCTCCACCATCCAATGTGCCCCTTCTCCCTGGGCATCCTAGAAAAGCAGCTCGCTCACTTTTGTCACCAGCACAAGTGTAACAGAATGTTCTGGGGAAACAGTTTTACTGGGGAAGAGCATGACTGCCTCCCAAGGATGTAACTGGCTAGATGGGAAGTCCTGATCAAAGCATATCTCCCTAAGCTTCACATGCACTCAGGTATAACTCACTGCATAATCTACAATTTTCTGTACATAAAGGTAAGTTGCATGACTTCAAGTTCTTCTTTCTATAAATACTAACTCAAAGGTTTCCCTAAAAACACCAGAAGACAAAGCAGAGAGATGGGAGTGACTGAAAAGCCTGGCCTGCAACACTTAGAATGCTATTTCAAATGGGGTCTGTTAAGATGCCACATTCTGAACCCAGATATACTAAACACTTTTTGTTTTGTTTTGTTTTTTTTCGAGACAGGGTTTCTCTGTGGTTTTGGAGCCTGTCCTGGAACTAGCTCTGTAGACCAGGCTGGTCTCGAACTCACAGAGATCCGCCTGCCTCTGCCTCCCGAGTGCTGGGATTAAAGGCGTGCACCACCATCGCCCGGCCCTAAACACACTTTATTAAAAGATTTGTTTTCTTGAGTTTGGAGTGGTGGCTCGGTGGTTAAGAGCACTGGCTGCTCTTGAGATGTTCCAGGTTCAATTACCAGCATCTACATGGTGGCTCACCATCATCTATAACTCTAGTCCCAGGGAATTCCACACCCTCTTCTGGCTTTCTCAGGAACTAGGCGTGCACATGGTGTAGCAAAATGCCCAGATACACAAAAATAAAAATAAGCAGAAAAAAAAACGGTGCTTTATTTTCTTATTTTTTAAACCATGTATATAGAATGTCTGTGTGGGTGTCTGAGGAGGCCAGGAGAATGAGATCCTTGGAGCTGGAGTTACAGGTTGTTATGAGTAACCTGACATGGGTGCTAGAAACCAAACTCAGGTCCTTTGCACGAACAGTATTTGCTCTCAACTGCTAGATTGTCTCCCTAACCCTAACACAGAGTATTAGACTGAAAATTTTCAGCAAATGCCCTCCAACTATCACTACACATGCACGAATTCCATATATGCAAATAGGAATGTGATAGTTAATCCTGGTTGTCAACTACATCTGGAATCAAGTAAAACTGAAGCCGCTCAACTGGGCACACTATGAAGGGCTTTTCTTGACTGGACCGTTTGAGTTGGGGGGACCTGCTCTAAATCAGAGCCACACCTTCTGGTGACAGCCCATGTAAAAGAACATGGAAGAAGGAAGCTTTTGTTTTTGTCTGCCTGCCATTAGTATCACTGACAAGTTCATCTACCCTGTTGCTAAGGCATTCCTTCGCTGGTATTAAAACCTACTTCTTTAGGATTCCAACTCAGACTAAAGACCAGCAGCTCTCTTAGGACTTTCCCGGAACTTCAACACTAGTCTGAAAGGGACTGTTCAGACATCCAGTCTTTTTATTTGTTTTGTTTTTTCAAGACAGGGTTTCTCTGTAGCTTTGGAGCCTATCCTGGAACTAGCTCTTATGGACCAGGCTGGCCTCGACTCACAGAGATCCGCCTGCTTCTGCCTCCTGAGTGCTGAGATTAAAGGCGTGTGCCACCACTGCCCAGCTTCATCCAGTCTTTTCTTTTCCATCAGGAGACAGTCACTGCTGAACTACTAGGACCACAGCCTCCCCCTATATACATCATTGTACCAGTCCTGTTCCTTTAGAAAACCCTAGTGCAGATACTTTATTAACTGATTAACTTTTCCCTAAAAATCACTGTGCATTTTCCCAAATTTCAACCTTCTCTAAGGTGAAAATCATCTTCAAAGCAAAGAAACTTGGTGCTGGTCCTTCCTCAGACCAGTTCTCTCAAGGTGCTTTAATTCTGTGCCGAAATCTTGCCCAGCAGAATCTTGCTAACAGCCACGGCAACCAGGACTCAAAACACTGAGAAGAGATTAACTTCTGTGTCTGGGTGGCAACTCCATTAAAAGAATGAACTCGAACACACAGCAGTCTCCAGCATTAACCTGATTTCTTCTCAACTTCATCCAGCTTTATCAAATCACAGCAATTTCCTATTTGATTATTTTCTTATAGTTGTCGAAACAGTTTTAAATGACTTTAAAACTCTCCTTTCTGTAACTCAAGTGCCTGGACAAATGGTTCTTTCTAGAATTCCTTTCTATGTGCAATAAAGATACCATACTATAAATTAAATCTGCCTCAGCATTATTTCATACGGATTTGTGGTTTTTAAAAAAAAGGTGTGTGTGTGTGTGTGTGTGTGTGTGTGTGTTTCTCCAAATAAAACTATTGGCTCTTATTTTTAACTTTATTCTTAGGGCCAGCTATCTGGAGCTTACTGTAATAATTAAGACCAGGAATGTCACTCTTAAAACACCCAAAAACTAATTCTAGGAAACTCTGCAGCAACACTGAGCCTCCCTGAATTCCCTCCCCTTCACACCCCCAAACCATACAAGAAAGCACTAGAGCAAACTCCAAACCCTAGCATACCATTCAAAGCAAAACTGGGAAATGGTTCCTGTCTCCACAACACAATGTAAGTGGATACCGACAAGACTGGTACATACAACTCTCAAAACTTCAGAGCAGTGTATCTTACGCACACACCCGGCTCAAGAAGATGCTGCAGTTACAACCAAGTGAGCTTCACAAGGAAGACTAGGTTTTCGAGAACCCAAGACTGAACAAAAGGGAGAACAGCAAAAACAATTTGCAACTGGGAAGCCGTGCCCACTCAACTGACACCAGGAGCAAGGGAGAGGAGGGTATGGGATAAACACAACATATCCTTTCAGAAAAACATTTCCTTACCCAACCCCGCCCCCCCAAAAAACTGAGCTATAGCTATTTCAATGTAAACTAGAAGTGCCAGCTGGGTGCGGTAGTTCTGTTAACCCAGAATACTGTGTATAAATGTGGGCTGGCACACGGAGACCAGTAACCTCTCACTAATCCTTCCACAGATTATCATGTTATCCACGGGCAGACAAGGTCCAAAATTCTAAATGCAATATTCCAGAAATACTTCATAAAGTTTAATACTGAGTGCCATTCATAGTACTGGATGCATCCAGAGCTCTCACTCTGCCCAGACCTTTGTCTAGACACCCCTTTGTCTAGTGCATGCCCACTATGTTTGCTGCCCTTCCAGAGTTATGGGAGCCATCTCAGTTACCAAAGTGACTGTGATATACCACAGTGCTTGTGTTTAAGTGACACAGTCTAGGGCTCTCCACTACCTCACAACGCTTGGTCATTCACCGCATTAATCTCATTAAGGACACAACATGCCCATCTCACAAGAAGAGATAGACGTCAGAGACACGGAAACCACAAGCACCTCTCTTATCGGACACTCTGCTGACTGCTCTGATCTTGGTTACTACCATTACTCTGACTCCACTCACCTTATAAGCTGAAGTTGGATCCATATTATATGCACTGGTCAGCAGTGTGTATAGGCTCCACTACCAGCATGGTTTCCAGGATCCACTAGGATCTTGGCATGACTCCCCTGGGCTAACAGAGGACTGCTATAATTAGGTGACATCTTTAACATATTATTCCTTTGTTCCTTAAATTCACAAATGTGAAAAGGAGACAGAAATGAGAGGTATGGTTTAAAATGCTGTACTTGAACTAGATGTAGGTGTATGACTAAAGCCTAGTGCTAAAGTCAAAAGCAAAAGGATCAAGAGTTAAGAGCCTGCCTAGGCTACAAAGACAGATGCTGTCTAAAGAAACATAACTGGGGGCTGGAGAGATGGCTCAGCAGTTAAGAGCATTGCCTGCTCTTCCAAAGGTCCTGAGTGCAATTCCCAGCAACCACATGGTGGCTCACAACCATCTGTAATGAGGTCTGGTGCCCTCTTCTGGCCTGCAGGCATATATGTAGAAAGAATATTGTATACATAATAAATAAATAAATATTTTTAAAAAAGAAACATAACTGTACTTGAAATTACCTTTTATGAAAAACATACACACATACACAAGCCTTCATATTTAGCAACCCCACTCACAAAAAAAGTGTAGAAACAACCAACCCTGTAACTTAATACACATATTCCCTAGCATATAAACTATATTCTTTTTTATGGTTTGATATTTTTTTAAATTGTTTTTATTGAGTTACATATTTTTCTCCGCTCCCCTCCCATCCTCTCCCCTCCCCTGAATTATATTCTTGAAATACTATTTCCATTAAAAGAAACCAGCCTAAGGCTGAGAGCTCAGCCAGTAACAAACTTGCCATGAAAGCATGAAGCCCTACGTTTAACCCCTAGGATGCAGGTGAAAAGGCTGGCTGCTGTGGCATGTCTGGTCATCCCAGCACAGAGGAGACAGACATAAGTGGATCCCTGGAGCTCCCTAGGCAACCAACCTAGCCTAATTCTAGTGAGAGACCCTGTTTCAAAGAAGAA